AGTAGGAGTACTAGGAGTAGTAGTAGGAGTAGGTCGGAGTAGTACGAGGGAGTAGTAGTAGGAGGGAGTAGCAGTATCAGTAGCAGTAGTGGTAGTAGTAGCAGTGGCATTGGCAGTGGCATTAGCCGTAGCCGTAGCCGTAGCCGTAGCCGTAGCAGTGGTAGTAGTATTAGTAGTCGTCGTCGTCGTAGTCATAGTCGTAGTACGGAGTACGTAGTATATGAGCAGCAGCAGCAGCAGCAGTCGGAGTCGGTAGAGGTAGTAGAGAAATAATTAGTAGAGGTAGTAGAGGCAGCTGAGGTAGTAGAGGTTAGACGTAATAGACGTAGTAGAGGTAGTAGAAGTGGTTTTGCTACTAGGTGCTGTTGTATGCTGTTGTAGTGGCAGTAAGTAGTCGTAGCAGCGAGGCAGGAGAAGTTGGTGAGTGTCACAGTAGCTGCAACGGTAGCATGCAGTGCGGATCAGCATTCCTGCTAAGGAGTCCACCGTCGGAGGTGTCAACTACACGGGGTACCCAGCAAGAGTTCTGCCGGGTTGGGTTGCGGGGCTTTAGGCTGGGGTTGTTTCTCATATTTCAGGAACTGCGTTGCCAAGATCTTGATATGATCCTGAGAATTCCTGAGATGATGTATCATCACTGAAGAATGTAGAGGTCGAGAGACGATACCAGCAAATTTGTGAGCTTTTAGGCTGATTCAAGCTGGTCTGGCCTTGTCCGCTTTACAGTCGCCGTGATCATGTTACTAAGCGATAAAGGTTGAACCTGTATCAATAATCTTGCTGCCTCTAGCCGGACCAGGGCACCTTGATCATGCCATCATCAGGGTTTAGAGCCTTGTCCAACCGGTCGGACCCAGGCAGATATATCCGCAGTGGTGGCTGCAAAGTCCAGATGTGGGGTTCACGACGCTCGCCGGCGTTTGTGCCCCGAAAGCCGTGGCAGTATACGAAATGAAAACTTCTACCACTGTGCTTGCTGCGACTCCCACTGTCTTCCTGCGAGCAGCTGAGTAGCACCACAGATGTCCATGATTTAACTAAATGCGACAATGAGTCTACCAACAGCACAGGTAGTCGCAGGGCTTCTGGTGATCATCATACTCTGAAAACAGTCAGAGGAGAAACGCTTGCCTGAATGCCTGCCTTCTCAGCATTGGCTGAAACCTGCTTGTCATGTCTCCGAGGAGTGATACCCCTGAGGCCCTCGACCCTGGACACACCCAGACTCGAATTGTGAATCCTCCTTCTCAGAATGCAGAAGAGAAACAGCAAGGGAACTAAAATATTCACCGTAATGCTTTCGAACGAACAAGAGTAATACCAAAGCGAGCAACAATACTGGCAATACCAACTTTATTATGAACCGCGCCATCCGTCATCATCAGAATGTCTCCTCGCAGGTCCTGGTCTCCTAAGGGCCCTTGGATTGGCGTTCCGGACATCGGGCCTCCCGGCGTTTAAGACCGAGGACCTACTTGGAGGGTCGGGGGACTTAGTAGCTAGTTATATTGCAGACCTAGAAGTACCCTAACCCCAATTAGGATCCCGCTTAGGGTACTTATAGCTCTACTTCATATCTACTTACTAAGTCCCCCGACCCTCCAAGTATAGGGTATAGGTTTCTGGGAAGTGACCAACACGCAGGAAACCTCTGTAGAAGAGAGATGGAGGGACACGGCTTGCTGCGACATTGGTCAGCACCTACTATGGACATCCCCGGTTTCCAGGAAGCCACGTGATGCCTGTCGCAGAGTAATATAGGGGCCTTAATAATTACAGTTACCTATACTTTTTGGGGGTTCCTTATCATATTGACTAGGTAGTCCAATCAGGCACGTGCCTCCCTGCAGAGTCGAATGGGAATGAACACAAGATGCAATCTTTCAACGGCTAGCAGCAAGAAGAACAGGCACGCGGCATGTGTCAGAGCCTCTTGCGCGTTGGACACATTATACCATTCCATCTGTCCAATGTTTGCGGCATATCGGTGTGGATACCCTTTTTCCGACATGGAACGGATCTCCATGTGAGCACGAAGCATTCCAGAATGCTATCACAGTCACGCGACGCATGA